GTTATTTGTTTTCCGTGCCTTTCTGAATACAGACACCAACCCATCCCTGCACATCACATCACATCCCCTGCACAGCCTGGAACATAACATTTATTTCTATGATCTGTCATTTTCGCTATTATCCTCACTTGTTTCTTCACAATACCTGCAGAACTTCTGATGATTCTGCTGTGCAGGTTCGGCTGGCAGCTGGCATAGAACATGGGCGGGTATATGCAAATGTTGGAGGCGTAACTATTAGTGATCCCGACTGTAACGTCACAGTCGGTGTTATGTTCTGATTCGCTTGTTTTTCAGTGGTCTTTTGTATGCACGAGATTTACATAAGAAGGAGGGAACAATGGTGTTTGAGGCTCACGGTATGTCATTTCCATGTACAGAACTGTTATTATTCAACTATGCCGAGGTAAAAACAGTTTTCCATTCTATGGCACCTTTAATTTGTAATATTATTTCACAATATTACTTTATTTAAAAAAAAAAAATTTTTGTACAGTATTTCGATGAAATGCCTTGAATGAACATGAGACTTCTTTCAAAAACATAAAAAAAATCTTACTGATTTTTAAACAGTAGTGTATTTTTCCATTTGTCCACATTTTCTGTAATAAATGTTCCATATAAGAAAAAAATCATACAGGTTTGGAAGTGCATGAGGGTGCATTTGACAGAAATTGTTCTGGTCCCAAAGTGTATATTGACAGACAAAAATCTTGAGGTACACAATTTGTGTGAAAGGACATGTTAAACAATTCTGGCACATACTTTTGGTAAAAGGTGCCCGGTTTTCTGTTTATTTTTTATATTTTTAAACATAACTTGCCAAACAGCCTAAGGTCAAAGACCAAATGTGCTCATTAATTGTGTTCCTTTAGATCAGAAGCTGTGTCTCATTTAGAAGGCTGCGTCCTCCGGAGGTCGCATTCGAAGGCTGCATACGTCATCGAGGCTGTCTCATTTCAGAAAAGCAAGTAGGACACTCCGAATGCGACCTTCGAATGCGACCTTCTTTCACAGGAATTCGGAGGGTGCATGAGGTGTATCCTTCGCTGCTACAGATAACCCACAATTCTTTGCGGCGCCGTGAACAGCCGTTGTTAATTTGAAAAATGCCGGCGCCGGCAGATGTAACGTACACACAAGCGCAGATGTGGTGTTTACAACTTACCTTAATTCACCTCGGTAAGAACGGATAAACTTTGTTTTAAATATCTTCCTCCTTTTTTTCTCTAATAGATGTCTGCTGTATGTACGCTGCAGTTCCTCAACATTGAACAAAATAAAACAAGTAAAAGCATTTTTTTTTTTCAAATTACTTTCCAAATTTAGAAATAATTTTCCTTTGTTTAAGTAGTGTGAGAGCGCAACGATGCTCTAAATGTGTTGGCATAGCAACGTGATACTTCCGGTTTCCTTTTCCGCCCGTCCTACGAAGGCCGTCTCGTTTAATTCTTGGTTGAGGACACTTCGTACATGCGTCCTACAGAGGATGCGACCTCTAGAGGATTCGACCTCCGGAGGGTGCAGCCTTCTAAATGAGACACAGCTAGTGTTTCTCAACCCTGGTCCTTGGCGCCCCCCAGCACTGCACATTTTGCACATTTGATGTCTCCCTAATCAAACACACCTGATTCAACTCATTAGCTCATTAAAAGAAACTCCAGCCTGCATAATGTTTGAGTCTCCAGGAGCTTCCTGTCTCATAAAACAGCATGTCGACGTCTCAGTCTGCCTGACGAGAATAACACGCCACTCCAGAGACATCTGCCACACAGGAAAGAAGATTGTGTGTGGAAAGTGTTTAATCTAGAATCAGGTGGCTGTAGGGATGTTAGGGGGCACCAGTGCTTGCTTTAACCTTTGTGAGTTTGGAGCTTTATCTGACTGTGAACTGCTTTTAAAAAAAA